GTGTGTGTGTGTGTGTGTGTCTGTGTGAGTGTGTGTGTCTGTGTGTGTGTGTGTGTGTGTGAGTGCGTGTGTGTGTGTGAGTGCATGTGTGTGTGTGTGTGTGCAGGTGTGTTTCATGTATATTATGTATATTATCACATAAGTTTAGACAGGTAGCAGATACTCTTTAGAAGAATAAAAAGATGTTTTTATATATAAAACAGGAAACATAGCTATTTATCTATGATAAAATACATATAATTTATTTTTTTTCTTCTTATATGGATCAGTTACTGTCTTTGAAAAATTCAAGATCAACTTGTTGCTATACATATATATTGCTTTGTTATGGAATAAACAGTGTGTGCAGATTTTACAACAATTATTATTCATAATAAACCAACCTAAAACCATACTACTGTTTTGTCATCTATGCAGAAGTTTCAGTGCTGTAACTGATGATTCCATATCATTAACTAGGCCTAAATGTTAATATAATTTTTTTATTATTACATAAAGGTTAACGATAATTGCACAATAAGTCAAGTTACTCCTGATGGGATAAAAAAATTCTAGCATCATTTATTTGCAAATGACATTTGAAATGCAGTGACAATCACAAATCATTGTTGTGACCACTGTATGTGGAAAAATATTAATACAACTTTAATGTTTAGCTAAACTAACACTATATAATGATATAATGTAAATGAATGATAGTATCGAAAGTTCTTATCACTTATTGAACGCAAGACAAAACTTTTGACGATAGTGTATTTCTATCGTCACCTCTATACTACTCGACTGCAATGCTGCAATCTCTCCAGCAGAGGACAGTGTGCTAGCGCGCGCTCTGCTCGTTCATCTGCAATCAAGGTAGATCTTGACCCAAGAACACCGGCCTGCCTGAGATGATGCAGCAGAAGAGAAGAGGAGGGGTCTGGATCTGGGGGCACTGGAGGCAGATGGTGACCTTTTCACAGTAAATCACTATGAAACCTGTCACATCCCAGCAGGCGCATTTGGGTCAAGGGGCTCCGAGTGAGAGCGCAAGGGTTAAAATGTCCCACCGTTTCGGCTGCAACAACAGTATAACACACTAATCGTTACATTTGTTATTAATAATAAGCAGGATAAACAATTTATATATAGAGAGAGAGTGCTGTCTAACGATTAATCGCGATTAATCGCAACCAAAATAAAAGTTTTTGTTTACATAATATATGTATGTGTAATGTGTATATTTATTTGTATATATAAATACACACATCATATATTTTGAAAATATTTACATTTATATACATTTATATATTTATATTATTATATTTTATATTATATATAAATATGTTTAATATATAAACATGACATATTTTTCTTAAATATATACATGCATTTGTTTGTATTTATGTATACATAATAAATATACACAATACACACTCATATATTATGTAAGTATGGTTATATATATATATATATATATATATATATATATATATATATTAAAATTACTAAAAATATATATATG